GATGGAGGGAAGCAAACAAATCAGACAGAACAAAGCAGAATGTTAACCTTCCCAAGATGAAATTTCGAATTCTACTAAGACAAAAATACCCTTCAAGAGAAACTAGGAGACAAACACCCTTCAATCGACCTGGGTTCGAGTCCCAGCATCGACATGGTAAGCAACAATCTTCCATAACTCTAGTTCCAGGGGAATCCAATGCATTGCACACACAAGGTGCACTTATATACATTTAGGCAAAACACTCATACACATAAAATAAAAATAATTTAATTAAAAAAAGAAATCTGGTCCTTCTGACTTGGAAACTCTGCTGTTACTGTCTAATTTATTCAAATACTTGAAAGTCTAGTATCAGTGTATTCAGAGAAATAAAAGAATGGTTTCAAGGTAGAAGGGTCTAATCTGTACATACAAAACTGTAAATTAAGCTAGTATGTGCTAAGGCAATCAGAGAGCAGGGAGAAAGCAATTACAGAAAAAAAATGGGGTATTATTTCAGCTAGAGCCACTACAGACAAAGACTACACAAAGGGAAAAGAGGGGGGAAATAGGGCGTGGCATTTGAGCGAGTCTTATTTGGATGTGCAGGAAGTAAGAGGTATGAGGTTAGGAGGAGGGCTTGAGAAGGTATTCTAGAAGTGGAAACAGAAAAGAGATACAAAGGAGGAAAATCACCCAGAAATAGCCAGAAATTCAGCTGGATAGGAGGTGAGAATCAAACCACCAGGACTTCAATGTCCACCTACAAAATCTAAACTTTGTCTTTTAAAGAAATTGGAACCAAATTTTTACAAAGAGCAACAAGATCAGCTTAAACATGATGAAATCTTTTACTAAAGAGCTTCCCAGAACTTTGTTTTAGAACACCCACTCTAACTGATCCACCGTGCTTTGTGTGAGATCACATAATCATCACACCAAGGGACTTCATCCCTAAAGGACAGCCAGATGACAGAGGACACCTCAAAACTTGAACCTGTGTTCACAGACCACTGGCCAACCACTGAAGAAACTGTATAGCATCAAAGAAGCTCTCTGCCTCCTGAAAATTCCGAGTCCTCTATGAATGATCAGTAGCACAACAATTAGATACATTGATTATATGTAATCCATACAAATGCACCTGTATTTCCCAAGTATTAGACTTTTATATGCTTTAATACATTGAACTATTATATTTATACAAACACATTTATATGATTTTTATATGCTTTTAATATTTTATTGTTGTATGGATTTGTCTTCCGCCTGGCAAGCTAGACTGGCAAGCTGTAGACAGGTGCCTTCTTCTCAAGCTCAGTTTTACCCACTTGCTTCAATTGCCACAAACAAATGTGACTATGGACACTCCATAGAAGGGGACAGGCACAGAGAGTCAGCCATGCCTTCTATCCAAACAGATGACCTGAGTGGTTACATGGGGGAGGGACTAAGGATAGGGACAGGGGAAGCCAGAGAGAGGGGATGGCCTTCAACATCTTGGACAACTGCCAGGAGGTCATAGGGTCCCAGCAACAATGTAGAAGGAAGCCGACTCATACCCATACTTCTGTAAGTAATTCCCTTACCCATTGATCTGTATGGAAGCTAATTAAATTCTTTGGTTCCCCAAACTGTAGTTTTAGTAAGGACAATGGGAGAAGGGGACCGGAAGCCACGTGTGCCTCCCAGAAGTAATTTTTAACAATTATAGACATTAGCTTACCCTCATAACAACATGGAGAGTTTAAATGATAATGTTTAGCCTTTTAGGTGAGAAAATTAAGAACATGCTAGGTTTGAGTTTTGGATTTTTGTTTTGGGGACTCACACATAAGAGGCAAAAGCTCTATCTGTCAATGAGCTATATCATCAGCCTTGAACATTTAAAAGACATTGCATTTTACACAGAGTGCTTACTGAACATTTGCTGAATCCCTGACCACGGCATCAAGTGATTTAATCAGTATCAGGTCAATGCTGCAAGATCCATTCCTAAAAACCCCAGCCAAAACCTCTGTAGCTCAGTCCTGACATGATACCTAAGTGGACAGAGTAAGGAGAGGTACTGTATTTAGAACAGCTATATTCATATGCTCCCCTAAGATGTGATGAGGCAGGAGAAGGTCAGTGCAGGGAAAAGTCCCTCAAGGAAAACTGGTATTTGCTTAGTTAAAACAAAGAAACCCATTCTGAAAAGGACTAATCAAGCCAAAATGAGAAGGTATTTCCAAACTGCTCAAATATACCTCTCTCTCTCTCTCTCTCTCTCTCTCTCTCTCTCTCTCTCACACACACACACACACACACACACACACACACACACAGAGTCTTCAAGAGTTTGGCATGGTTGGGTTCCACAAACACGGATTCAAATTTCAGGTCCCACACTTTCTAGCCGTGTGCCTTCAGCCAAATTACTCAACCTTTCCAAGTGCCTAAGAGCTGTAAGGGTAACATGGACTTCCCAGGGTTGTCCTGGGAATTAAAAATGGAAAATGCCTAGCACAGTGCAGCTACAGACCTTCATGCCCAGGAGCAGACACTGAGTGGAAGTTTACTAGCAGGTTAGAGGGAAAAGAATTAACAAAAAGGAGCCTTAACTAGCATAGGAATTAACAATTTTTGCCTCATTAAGTAACCAAAGTAATCAAATAACCCTATTCTAGTGAACTACTAAAAACTGGTTTGAGTGCTTAGTTTTCTTCAGATGCTTAGAAAACCTTAAAGCATATAGAAATTCACAATTTCATTCTAGATGAAAAGCAAGGCAAAAACCTTGGTTAAATAACAGTATTTTGGGTCTGGGAATCTAGCACAGTTGTAGACCATTCCCAAACATTCCCCAGATAAAAATTTTAATTTAATTTTTTTAAACTATTAAAAAAAAAACCCTAACAGCATAGTATAGGTCTCTTCTTGAGATGTTGTTCAAGTTCAAGTGGGGCCCCTAAAAGCAGAGGGAAGGGCATCAAATTCCCTTTGTTAATTGCCTGGAGGGGAGTGGGATATGAGCCAGTCCCAGATGAAACAGATAAAAAGGATCAAGCCAACATACACGCCTGAGGCACTAGGCTTCCTGAGAACGTAGTCTCTGTGCTTTGTCCTAAAATGGGCATGTTTTAGAAAGGAGAAGCATTAAGAGGTGAGCACACCTGGCTGAGGCAGGATAGAAAGTTCTAGGCCATCCTGAGCTACCTTGAGAGAACTTGTCTCAAAAGGGAAAAAAAAAAAAAAAGGAGAGCAAACAGGTTCAACTAAAGGGTCTGCAGGTAAAGAAGTCAGATTAAGGCTGAGAAGACCAGGAAGGACCAGGGGAACAGGGAGAATAAACGAGTTCCTCTCTCTGAAAGTCACTGAAGTACTGGGATACTCAATACCAAAGCTAAAGAGCAGAACTCGGGGCCCTGGCTTTAGTTTCAAGTCTTGGCTTTACTTCTGGGATACCATTTCCGTCCAGTGCACGGTTTCTCAAGGTTATCCTGCCCACAATCAACAAGACATCT